GCTATGATCCAGTCTAGAATGATGCTCACAAACTAGTTCAGACAAAAGAATGGTGAAAGCATGGGTTCCATATTTTCAGTATTTTTTTAAAATATTAATTTATTTCTTTCATATTAAAATATTATAATACTAATACAATCGAAAGCATGCAAGATCTTAGATTTGGTTAAAATTTGTTAACCAAGGGATAGATGTTTACTGCTTGTGTAACTTAACAGAGTGTTTACTTTATATGTTTTATTTATAGGGGGGTGGAGGTGAATAAATGAAAAAATCTATTAGTTAACAATTTTTATATGCCAAACAATGTAATAAGCAATTAAACAGACCTATCTAGATTAAAAAATAATCCGGTCACCTATCAATTTATAGCCGTTATAGGACCGTTAACCGTCATTATCTAAAACCCTTTGGCGCTATTTTTTTACTTTCCTCAGAATTTAGAGAGATGTTTAACAGTGAAGTCAATATATATTTGTTTCATTTTCAATATACCAATAATTCTATTGTTTAAAAGTATGAATAGATAATAAACAGATCATTGGTTGCATTTAATTTTAATAAATTAATTGATATAATTTATGTTTTCCTAAATATGTTAAATATTTATGAGAAGAATTCTAAACATGTTGAAATACATTTACGATCTTATTTTTAAATCTCTTTCGTAGAAAATCTAAAATTAAGTTATTCCGGACTTTCATTACAGAATTAAAGATATATCATTATTCTAGAAAAACCTACCGCCCACCCTAAAATCAGTATACATTATGTCAAAGTTCAAAATTTATTAAAATTAAAATTGTAAACCTGTTTTTAAGATTAATAATTATATGAGTACTATAGCTATTACGACGAATAATTTAATTATATGAGTCCAAGCAGATATTAAAATCTAGATGAAAAAGTAATTGTTCATTGCATTTTGATATTATAATAAGCCAAATAGAAATATATTGTAAAGTCTTATTATGATATTGTGTTTATTTGTATAGCGCTAACTTTTTAGTCCATCATATTTTATTTTCCACTCCATTTTTCCATGGCATGTCAATAAAATCAAATAGAGACTTATGACCATGACGGATATCTTTCCATTATCAGGCTTGAATGATATATTCCTCATATTATATATATTTTTAAATTTTAAAAATTAATTTCTAAAAAGAAAAATTTAAATGGTTCAATAACAATTTATTTTTTTAAACAAAAAAAGGTAAACATGTTATTATATAATAAAAAATGGGAGTTCAATATTATTTTATTTTAATTACATAAATAAATGAACTTGAAAATATAAAAGTTCAACATTATGATTTTTTTTTAATTTATCTGTAAACTCAGATTATTTTTTTAAATATGTGTAATCCTGCTACCTAAATTTCTATATTATTAAATCTCAACAAATGTTTTTAAACTACTAATTAAATTGTTATATTTTATAAAATATTATAATTATTTTTATTTAAAAACTACGAACTCTTTTCAAGAAATTAAAATACTATTTACTAGTAAATATTTATATTACCAGTTTTAACCTTTCCATACAAAAATGTAAAATTTTTGTACTTTTAATAGTTTAAATTTAAACTACTAAAAAAGATTAAAATAATTTTTTGATTATCTAAAGTAAATATTTTTATAAAAAAATATGAATATAAAATTATCAAAATTTTACATTATAAATAACTATTAAAAAAAATTCTTCAAAATATTTATTTCATCTATTTTATTCAAATACCTGTAAAGGTTTTATTAATCTAAATCCTAAGGATTCAGCTAATCCATTGGATAAATAATCGCTATCATTTCCAAAAGATATGGATCAAAATTATTTTTATATAAAAAATCTCTAAGTATAATACAAATATTTTTTTTAGCGAGACCTTTTTTCTATAATATGGATTACTTATTTTATAAAATAAAAAAGAAAATTTATGCCATTGCAAAATATTTCAATATAATATAATTTAAATATAGTGTTAATTTTTTGTAAATTATATTTTATAATTTAAAATTGACAAATATACTGTGGAGTAGCAGAATTAAAGAAAGAAAGAAAGAAAGAAAGAAAGAAAGAAAGAAAGAAAGAAAGAAAGAAAGAAAGAAAGAAAGAAAGAAAGAAAGAAAGAAAGAAAGAAAGAAAGAAAGAAAGAAAGAAAGAAAGAAAGTAAGATAGAAAGAAAGAAAGAAAGAAAGAAAGAAAGAAAGAAATAAATAAATAAAGAAGGAAAGAAAGAAATAAGAAGGAAAGAAAGAAAGAAAGAAGAAAAAAAGAAAGAAAGAATTTATATTTTTTTTATCTCGGTGAAAGAAAAAACCCATCTCACACGTCTTTATCAGGAAAGTAATTCCAAAAATGAAATATATATATCAAAATTGATTTTGCAAATCCTTATAACAAGCATAACTGATTTTTGCAGATCTCACCATTCCTCTTATTACGCCAAATTCATCTACACTTGTTACCAATTTCTTAATTATTCAATTCAATTCTCGTTAAATACTCCAAACTAAAAGCATTCAGTTGATAAACTTGGATTCCTTCTATTTTGGTCTAATTACTATTTTTCATAATATGGTTATCAAGAAGATGTACATATAATTAAGGAGAGGGGATTCGCTTTTCTCATATCAACCCTAACAAATACAAATTTCTGCAAACAAATTCCTATTATTCGAATCTTCACACTTTTAAAAATCTTTTTAAATAGAAACTTACACATTTAGATACGCCTGCAGCCTAATTCACTACCAAATGCACCATCTTCCATTCTACTCTTGATATCCTTCCTAAGCTTGATTATCATCCTCATCTGATATTCTAGTCAATTATCTTCAAAAAACTTCTTTCGCACCTCATCATTTGTGCTTCGTATTCATCAACTCCTATATCTAAATTTCTCATCCTTCTTATTTATGAAAAGGGGATTTGAGATCTAACCGAAAATATCTTGAGCATAAGATTATATTAAACTGTATGGGCTCAGGCCCTTACTAAAAAAATGGTTGTTGGGGGTCAGATCTACCATTAATCTTGCTCTCATTAATTTATTTTGTGTCTTTTTTCAAACCCGTGCATGCTCATCTCTAAAAATGATTTTTTTTTATAAGACGCTTTATTGCTATAGAAAACCTGTATCGTTGATGTTCTATCATATATACCCAATTAAGATGATTGGGATTATTTCTAGCTCGCTGCGTTGAATATGATCTAGCATGCTACCAACCGAACGACTCATCTTCACTTGATTTCAATCTTCAGAATTCCTTTCAATTTTCATTAAATCGGATAGTGAGTATCCTAATGGAATCAGCTTGATCTCGTGGAAAGGGATCAATTTATTGTTTGGGAAAATCACCTCTCAAAATTTTCAAATACCTGGAAATCTAAAAAGATGGTGTTTTCATTCCAATTAAATTTACTAACTTAAGGTAAACCTGTTTTATTTTTTTAAACTCTCAGACGAGTCTCAAGACGGCTTATATGACAGAGACTGGCTACAAAGCAAACTACATCAGGTAAAACGACAGCCTTCTTCTTGTTTGCTTTCTTAGACTTATCTTATTTATTTTCTTTCCTTTTTTTATACTTTATTTCTTTGTTATTCTTAGATTAAAATAATTTTAATAGTTAATAAAAAATTGTTACATAAAGATGTTATCTTTTGTAATTTTATTTATGTTATAATTAAATAATATAAATATTTTTTATATATTCTTTTTGCACAGTTTTATTTTATTATGTATTGTCAGAAAAAAAATAAATATTATTTTTGTATATATTTAATTTTTTTAAGTAACGAGTAGCCCGTTGCTTTTAGGAAAAGTCGGTAACGCACGTTCCTTTTTTACAAAAGTAACGAGTAACGGATATAAGTTCCTTTTTTCAGATGTAACGGTAACGCGTTTCTTTTTTTGTGGTAACGTTTACAGTACTACTAATATGAATCATGGATAAATAAATGAAATATTTTATGATATATAATTTATTTTCCAAATATCTATCGCATTATATATATATCAAAAAAAAACTAATTAAATGTGTAAATCAAATTGATTTAAATTATATTCTATAAATTTGTATTTAATATTTTGAAATGTTTGTAATTGTATAATATAATAAAAATGATTTGCTGATATAAATAAAATATTGGTGATTTAACACATGTTTATAAATTTAATGCAGAATAAAACTTTTGTAGCTTAGTAAAAAATAATTTTAATGGGACGGGCCGAGGACAGGACCGATAGTCCCATGTCTCACTTGACTTAACCATCGGTCTGGTCTTATTTTAGCCGCACGTTGCAAACATTAAACTATGCGAATATTTTATTAGGGTAATATTTTTTTACATTTCATCATAAAGTGTTTTAATCTAAGTTATCAAGCTTTTATTAGTTGTATTTACATTTTATTTATATGAATTATGTTTAGTAAAGTAACGTACGAAAGGAATAAAATTCCAATATTTATTTTATAAAACCAATACATATATAATTTTGTTATAAAATTAGAAATATTAATTTATTTTTACTAATAGTAAAATATTATTTAGTTATTTAAGAATTATTTTAAGATCATTTATATAGATGAAATTTTATAAATAGTTAATTTTAGATTATTCATTCAATTATATATTATTATTTGACTAGGATTAGGCTGAAATTATAATAAGCACGTTATCTTCAACCGCTGCGTTACTTAATGCATCGTTATATAACAATTAATTCAGTTTTGAAAAATAAATTTAAGATAAAGTTAAAATAGATATTAGAGATCTGCAAAGTTAGGCCCGGCCTGTACGCGGCCCGAGTCCGGCCCCTACCCGACCTAATTCTATTTAAAATAATCGGGTTCGGGCCGGGCCGGGTCTAATATTTTTTTAAAAATTCGGACCGGTGTAACGTGTGAAAGTGATTACCGTGAGATTTCGAATTCTCACACCATCAAAATCTCACAGCTGACACCGTGTGAAAGTGATTTCATGAGATTTTGATTTTTATCGCATCAAATACATTGGGGGCCATTTAAATCATCAAAATCTCACGGCTATTCAATATTTCAAAATCTCATAGATATTTTTAAAATCTCGCATTATTAATTTAAATATACTTTTAAAATGTCAGATTTGAATGAGGCTGTCAAATTAGAAATATTTCTATATATTTTCATTATGAAGTAAATTTTTAACAATATATTTTTTATTTCAGAAATATTTTAGCTCAAATTATAATGATATATATGACTTCCTAAAATGTTCTAAAGTTCCAGTGAATGTTAATAAGGCTAACTTTATTAGAAAGATAACCGCCTTCAAGATTATAGAAAATCAATTATTCTATGGGGAAAGTAAATTTTAGATATGTTATGATTAATTTATTAAAATTAGCCATTATAAGTTTAATGCAAAATATTATTTTTTAACATTGAAAAATGCTCAGGCCATTGATTATTATCTTTTTTTCATCTAAAATTAATTATAGCTGCTAAGTGTATATATATATATATATATGTAAGAACATTTGATAAAATTTTACATATATGCATTATTAAATGCTATTTTAAAACTAAAATTTAATTTAGATTATCACATGAAGATGAAAAGTATGGGCTTATAAATGATTGCATAATTAATTTATTAAAGTTAGGTATTATAATATATACAATTAAAATTGTATGACAAAATTAAGTGCAGTTTATTATTCTAGCCATTGATTATATATATTTTTTCTGCATCACAAATATTATTATATATATAATTTAATGATATTTTAGAAGAAAGAAAAGTTATACTGACAGGAGATGAACAAAAAATAATAATTAAAACAATACATGAGGGGGGTGTATCTTCAGTTGCATGTATTGCTATGGGAGAGCATCTGGGGATTAATAAAACTAATCAAATAATAGCTGAAAAGTAAAAATTTCCAATATTCTTTTAATTATTTTTTTTAAGCTTTTATTGGTTGGGGAGCAATAAAAGTGTTAGAAAGTTTATCAAATCCTGTGAAGTTTGTCAAAAATCAAGCAGTCGTTTTGATAAAACCTCAAATGTTTTGCACAATATTAAAGTTGTGCCAAAGTCTTGGTATCAAATTGGCATCGATTTAATCCAGATGCCAGAATCCAAGGAAAAATAGAAATATATTTTATGTACCATATGCTATTTTTCAAAATATTTATTGGCTATTCCTATTAAGAATAAAACAGCTAAATCTGTTGTAAAAGCCTTATACATCATTGTCAACACCCACCAAAGCTATGAAGTAATAAAATAAAAATACCAATTTTAACTGAATTTTATTATATTAATATATATTTTTTTAAATTTAATAAAACTAAAATATATATTTATTAAAGATTCAGATAAATGATCAAGGCAGGGAATTCTGTAACAATGTTTGTACAGAATTCCATAAATATTGTGGGATTGTCCAGAGAATAACCTCAGCCTACAACCCACAAGCAAATGGTGGTTGAGCGAGTTAACAGAACAATTCAGAACCGAATAGCAAAATCGGTTTTGGATATCCCAACTGACTGGCCAGATGCTTTGGTAGGGGTGTGTGGCACCTACAATTCTTGCATACACTCTTCTATGGGATTTTCGCCCTATGAACTGATGTATGGTCAGAAACCACGACGCCCTCTTACAGTAGAAATAATTTTTAATGTTATATTTTTCATTATTATTTAGTTACAAAACAAAATTGAGGATGTATTAGCCTTACCAGAGGTTATGGCAAAAATAACAATTGATCATTGTTTAAAAGAAGAGTTAGAAATTAAAATGGCTCATCTTAAAAAAATAACGGAACTGGCTATACAAAATACTGGTATAGCCCAGTTTAAACAAAAAAAAGGATTACGAAAAAAGATCAAATGGTTCTAAATCTTTTATTTTGGGACAAAAGGTTCTTGCTTGGAACCATAAAAGGTCAGATGGAAAGGGGGGAAAATGTTGAACCCCTGGATAGGCCCTTATTTGATCAATAAAATATTTGATAAGGGTAATAATTTTATATTATAATAATTATTACTGTATATCAAGGTGTATATGAATTAATAATCACGAATAATCTCATATTAAAAAAAAAATATAATTTATCCAATTTAAAAGAATTTACTGTAAGAAACAATAAATATCCAGATGAAAATGGTAATGATTTTTAAAAAATTACATTTTTTATGAAGTAAAAAAAATATTTTTAGATACAAAAATTAATATTTAATAACTTTATAATTATTTTTAATATTTTTACTATAATTAATGCATTGCCAATAGATAGTAGTTCCCATGGCCTTTATGATGAAATTATTCCACTTGCTACGGAGTTTGTTGATCCAAACTCTCCCAGATGTATTGTATTTAGGATATATATTTGAATTATCTTTTGAATGATAATCTTATAATTATTTTTTGAATAATAACCTTATAATTATTTTTTATGTTTTTATTATAATTAATGCATTGCCTTTAGATAGTAGTTCCCATGGCCTTTATGATGAAATTATTCCACTTGCTACGGAGTTTGTTGATCCAAACTCTCCCAGAGGTATTGTATTTAGGATATATATTTGAATTATCTTTTGAATGATAATCTTAAAATTATTTTTTATGTTTTTATTATAATAAATGCATTGCCTTTAGATAGTAATTCCCAAAATGGCCTTCATGTTGAAACTATTCCACTTGCTACGGAGTTTGTTGATCCAAAGTCTCCCAGAGGTATTGTATATAGGATATATTTGAATTATTTTTTTGAAAATAAAGCAGCACGTGTGTTACTTATAGATAGTGGTTCCCAAAATGATGAGTTTGAAGATAAAAATATTCAGCTTGACAGGGATTTTATCAATCCAAAGACTCTCATAGGTAATGTTATTTCTGATATATATACGTATACAGAATTGAATGATGATATTTTGATAATAAATAAATTAGAAAATATCCCTAGATATTTTTTTCCTACAACAAATGTATGAAAAAAATATCATGCTAAAACATATGGTCTAAAGCCTCCAAAACGTTGTCGGGATGTTGACTATGGGAAACAACTTGGTGAACCCACCATCCTGGTGCAAATTGAATTTATTGGAATTGTTTTTATAGGTAAAACATATTAATATAAAATTTCATTTTATTCTACTTTATATAATTTAGGGCGATTAGTGTAGAGCTTACTGGAGCTCAAAATTCCCATGTTATACTCAGGCAATGATTGACACAATTTATGCTAACATCCGAGATGGGAAAGGTAATTGAAAATTATTTTTACGACACGAACAAAAAAATAGACATAAAAACTTATGTCTTAAATAATGTAATGACACATCACATATGGGCTTCTGACACAGAAGTCAGGGCGATGGCCACAATGTTAAATACGGCTATTTTTACTTATATAAAATATAATGATAATTTTGTATGGGCCCGATATGACCCATTTTATATTCGCGACAATATTAAAATATTTAATAAAAATTTTATTTATATAAAAAATGGGGGGGAGTCATTTTGAAAATGTTTTAGATTGCGATTTATCTTTCAATCTAATCACTAGTTATTATTTTTATTAAAAAAATTTTTTTATATAAAAATATATAAATATATTTCATTCATATTATAATTTATCGCCTTATATATATTTTTTATGACAGTTGTAGTTTATAAATAATATTCAATTACATACTGATATGCAATATATGATAATAATTATATTTTTCCATGATGTTTTTATTAAATTTTAAATTATGCTTAAATATTTATATCAATAAAGTTCTTCGTCTATTTTCTTATACCAAATAAAGTTTTACCTAATATTTGTGACCCAATTCAGTACAAAATAATAGAGAGATAGATTATCTTTAAAACATTATATTAGGTAAACAAAATAAGCATTACGATTAAGCCATTTAGGCTAAGAATTTATCTAACTGTTTCTTTGCAGTAATTTAGAGGGTTGGGTAGAGAAGGCGGTTTGCCTCTAGTAAATTTTCTGTCAAATATGAGCTTTGTCTAAATTAATGTCTATCGAGAAGATGTACTTTGTATAAGAAATATCATGGGATCGGAGTATCTGGTTATTTTATAAATTTCATGTTGTGTAAATTAGCATGTTAGTAAGGATCTCTTCCCTACCTAAATATTGCTAAACTTTAATTATGATATTGATTGGAGCCTCCTATCAATAATCTGAACTAGAGGTCTGGATTGGGTGGTTTTTTCGCCCGTACTTTAAAAAAAATATTTTCAACATTGGGCGAGAGGGTTAAAAAATTTGGGAAAATTTGATATTTTTCAGGCGAAATGAGCAGAACAGTAAATAGTTTTTCATAATATTCCATATTATATGTTTAATTAAAAATACATTAAAATAAATAAAGAGCCAAACCAGCCATAAAATAATTTTAAAACAAAATATATATTAAAAAAATTATAAGTGAGAGCGAGGGCAGGTTAAATAAATCTTTTCGCTAAAAACTGCCCATTACAGACCTCTAATCTGCATATCTTATTACACAGTATTTGGTATGATATGCAGACTAAAAATATAAATTTAAAACTATAGAGAGGCGGCGACTATTTAGATAAGATAGATAAAAAAAAATTTTTAAAAATGTACGCTATATGGTTTTGAACCCGCATTTTGAGGATAGGTAATGTAAGTCTTACTAACTAGACTACACATCACACCTTTTAATGCTTAATTTTATTTGTTATATATAATCTATTTTTTAATTAAATTTCAAAAAGAGAAATTTTATTATATTGTTAACTTTAATGATGTTAAAATAAAGATGAGCTCTTGAAATGAAACAATATTTACTAAAATATTATTTTAAAACATAGATTATAAAGGTGTGATACCATTATTGTCTCTATATTATATTTTATATCCTTATCTTTAATCTTCGACTTAATGATCTTAAAAAAATAAAGATGAGTTCTTAAAATGAAACGATATATATCTTGCAAAGCATTATAATTTAACAGTTAGGTTTTATACCATGTCTCTATATTATATTATCATTTAAATTCATGTCATGAAAATTTTTGCTTTAGATTTATCGCTTCAAAAACATTGGGGGCCATTATCATCAAAATCTCACAACCCATCCGTGTGAAAGTGATTGCGTGAGATTTCGAAATCTCACAGATCTCTTTCACACGTTACACCGGGTCGGGTCAGATATTGAATTTTTTTTAAAATTCGTCTAAATTTCTCAATTTTATATTGATTTTTTATCTAAAATAAAAATATTTGATTTAATTTATTGAAACTAAACGACATATAACACATGCCGTTTATTTTGAGTAATTATAAAAATTAATTTTCGAGCCGGGCCGGTAAATTTTTTCAAAAAAAATTTCAGGTTTGGGCCGGGTTTGAAAAATTAGGCCCGATGCAGATCACTAATAGATATATAAATTTTATATAATATTTAAGAAAAACCATATACCTTTTTATTGAATTTCGCTTTTATTTATTGTTAAAGATTGTTTCTCTTACTTTTTGTTCCTCTTTTAACCTTAAAGGCATAGATTTTTTTTTAGAGTCACCCTTTTGTTTGATTTAATTATATTAAAAGTAAAACATATGGTTTTTGTGTTTTCTTTTAATCAGGGTCTTGTAAGGTATTCAATTAATTAGAAATTAGATAATTTATGTATACCGGAGATAGTTGTGAATCTGAAGATATAATTTGTGTTCCGAAAAGTGTAAGGAAGTTGGTTTTAATCCACAATTATGTATAAAACTAAACACAACTCCCTTTCACAAAAACGTTTTGCGCCAATTTTATTTTAATTTTATAATTGCGCTTCTTATTATCCCTATTCTTGTCCGTTTTAATATTAAATTCCTAAGTTGCTCTTAATTAACCTATTATGGCTCACACACGCTAGCATGAAATGAGTGGTTAAGTGTCTCCTACTACTCGTAAATGTAGCCCCGTCATCTTATTTTTATAACCGGTATCCATATATTTTATCGAAGCATCGCAACATATGTTTTTCAAATTTTATCATAGCGTTATCATCATAACGCTTCATATTTATAAATTTAAACCTATCTCTTGTTATTTTGTAATAAGGCAACGCTTGATTATTACGCGTACTTACTATAATTGGGGCCTAAACTTAGTAATATTTATTAACTTAACATCTTTTTTATTTTATCAGATACAAATTACATTAATATAAGATCGAAGGAAGATTATGAATATGAATATATAATTATTATATTTATAGGTTTATTACGTTTTATGTTAATAACATTTTGTTTTACAATAAAGAAATATTTTATATATAATCTACCTTTATGCACATTTCATAAAATAAATAAAACTAAATTTTGGAAGCATTTTATAAGCATTACAAATTTTAAGTTGGTAAAACTATTATTTTGAATTAACTTTTATAGAATTTCGAAAAGGTTAAAATTTATTAATCAAAACATTTTATTACCTTAATTTTGTTTTTAATAAAAACTTATTTTTCTTTTAACCAACCCTAAGAAATTTGTAATTTTCTGATACGTATTTAAAACGTTTTGCCCTATAGTTGTGGATAGACAGAGCTAAGCTAGGTTTTCATCAAATCTATCAAACTAGGCATTTGATTTAGGGGGAAAAAAATATGGAGTCCTTCACACGTTCAGGGGCGGACTGGCCATGAGACCCAGTGGGCATTTTGCCCACGAGGCGGCGAGAAAATGTCGATTTTGAGGCCGATGAGAGAAAAATATCAAAAAAGAGGCCGGTAGGAAAAAAATATATTATTTTGTTCTCATTATTTTCTCTTATCATTTATTTATTTTTAATGATATCTATTATATGAATATAACATTCCCTGAGAAGAATTATCATGTCGTTTACTATATTTGAATGCATAAAATATCAATTTTGTCGCTTGACGCTATATATCATTTACCACGTGCTTTTCGTTTTTTTTTCAAAGGAAGTGAAAACGCTTATGTTTGAGTTAGAGTAGAGTGAAAGCTAAGTTTTGATTTATTTATATACATTTTATTGTATATGGGAAACTATAGTGATTGATTGTATTTCTTCTTCTTAATTCATTGATTCTTTTGAGCTTGGGCTTGAGTAGAGTGAAAGCTAGGTTTTCATTAATTTATATTATATTTTTATACATTAATTTATGGTATACAGGAAACTATTGTGATTGATTATATTTCTTGTTCTTAATTCATTGATCCTTTTGAGCTTGGGCTTGAATAGAGTGAAAGCTAAGTTTTGATTAATTTATATACATTTTATTGTATATAGGAAACTATAGTGATTGATTGTATTTCTTCTTCTTAATTCATTGATTCTTTTGAGCTTGGGCTTGAGTAGAGTGAAAGCTAGGTTTTCATTAATTTATATTATATTTTTATACATTAATTTATGGTATACAGGAAACTATTGTGATTGATTATATTTCTTGTTCTTAATTCATTGATCCTTTTGAGCTTGGGCTTGAATAGAGTGAAAGCTAAGTTTTCATTAATTTATTATATTATATTTTATACATTAATTTATTGTAGAGAAAACTTTTGTGCGCCTAATATTTGTATTACAACAATTTACTGATCATTAGCAAACAAACATAATATAAGAAAAGAATCAACTTGATATACTATTTTTACAAGTGGAGATGTATGTAAATAGTCAAAAGTAAAAAACTTATTTATATTTCATAACCCAAAGATAGTAATGTTTTTTATTATTATTACTGGCTGGTAACATAACAGATGATAACTTTATGCTTTAAATTAAAATACAATTCTTTAAAAAAAATTATAATAAATTTTATTTTAGTTGAATTTATATATTTTTAAAAAACTTATTTATATTTCATAACCCAAAGATAGGAATGTTTTTTTATATTAGTACTGGCCTGTAACATAACAGATTACTTTATGCTTTATATTAAAATACAATTCTTTAAAAAAAATTATAATAAATTTTATTTTAGTTGAATTGATATATTTTCATATATGCATAGAAATGCCAAAAGGAAATTTAAAGGTGGAGCTGAAAAATTAAAAAAATGCTGCTGGTCTCAAAGCAGCTGGTGCTGATCCAAAACAACTTAAATTATCTTTTTTTGATAAATCAATACCAAGTATTTCAAATACTATTACTTCATGTAAATAAACTATTTTTTTGGAGATATCAACAACTGCCTCCCATTCACCACTACCTGAAACAACTACCTTATCTGCAACATCTTCATGTATTATGGCATCAGTTCAATCATTGCCACTATCCTCACACTTGTCAGAAGCAACTACATCAATAATGCCTTCTGATATTTCTCAAAGTGGATTATCAGAATTGGATATGCATACACCTGAAAATTTTAAGTTGCAATTAACAGCAAAACTTAGATTTTTAATGCAACATCCTATACAACCAATAAACATTAAATATGATAAATTATATTATCGAATAGTAATGAGTAAAAAAATACCTAGAAATTGGATTACCATAAAAATTATTTGCAATAGAGCCCAAGCTGTGTACTGCTCAATCTGCCTGGCATTTGCAATATGTGAAAACACTTTCACAACAGGCTCTACAAATTTTCGTCACATGCACTCAGTTATTAAAATACATGAAAATT